ATATTTGTTCAGTCTCTTTCAAACTTGGTACGGACTAATTTGGACAACCTGGTATCACTCTGAGTTGTCTTGGGCAGTGACTTCCGGTGTCAAACACTGACGAAAAAGCTGTCCTTTAACTTTGGCATGATACGAGGCAGGTTGGCGTTAGGGGGAAACATGGCGGGACAAGAACGAAAGTTAAGGTGGAAAAAGTCCAAGTAGGATGAGAGCAGTGTTTGCGTCCCGTAAGATTCTAAAACCAAACCCTGTTCTTTTATCCTAAACCCAACCACATGTGTTTACCAACATAGTGCTTTTATTTTGAAAGAACAGTAAATGTAATGTGACAACAGAAGTGTACTTTGAAAGTGGACAATGCATGTAACAGGAAGAACTTGACACAGTGTGCCAGAACGTCAACAACAACACATCCAGGGTACCTTTCACGGCCTTATTTTGTTGAAAAAGAGTCGAAAAGTTAGTGTGTCCGTCCAGGTGTCGTGTTCCATTCTTGCCAGTGAGAGCCAATGGTGGCCAATTAAAGCTGGAGCTGATAAATACCTGTGACCACTGCAGTCATTTGTCCTGGGAGTAAATGCCAATTATTATCACCTTTCCCCTTAAAGACAAAACCAGATGTCAGTGGGTTTTTGTCTGGTGGGAAAAGGACTATAGGAACTATTTTCTTTCGACCGAACTACACCCGCCAACCGTGTCACCAAACAGAAGGAAATGTGCATCTATGGATGAGAGGCTTGTGACAGTGCTAGATGTAAACATTAATGATGTTCTATTCGACTGAGCTGTAACATTAGGTAGCTCAGTGGTGCTAGGTGAGCTAGGAGTAGATGCACTCTTCCTTCTGCGCAGTGATACAGTTGGCAGGTATAGTCTGATAGAAAGAAAATAGTTCCTACATGAAACTGCTCACAACAAGGTCTGTGGATTATCTTGAGAGACTAGGTCATGATTTCAGGAAAGAGACATTGATGTTGAGTTTCTCAAATGTATTTTTTGGTGCGCACAAGCTAAGTACAATGCATTTCCATTTTATTGGAGAGAAGGCAGACATCTCTACGGCCGATATCTGCAACACTCAGCACCTCACACCTAAACAGTCTAGACTGACATATAGCACTACAGGTAGGAAAAATATGTATTTTTGATTTTGCCGTGAACTTTCCCTTTGAAGATATCAACAATTTCAGCTGCTCTCAGATCTTTGGGTGAACTATTTTACAGCTCGGAGCATAAAAACTAAAAGCTGCCTCACCAAAAATCTTTGTCCTGCACTAAAAGATTACTGCCAGAGGACCTGAAGGGTCGTCCTGGTTCACAGATTTTAAGCACGTTGGACAATAAAGTTGGCGCAAAACCATAGAGTGCTTTAAAATTGATTTTAAAATCAATACAGACACTGAAGGCATCCAATGTAAGGAGTTTAAAATAGGTGTAATGTGTTCTTGCAGCACTCACGCAGCAGAGTACTGAATCAATTGTAACTGATTTATAACTTCTTCCAGATGGAGCGCTTAATAGTAGTCTAGCCTGCTGGATCTAAAAGTGTGCATTAGTCTCTCTGTGTCACTCAGAGAGAAATGGCCGAACACTGCTGTATTATATTTGGTAACATAAGCCCTAATTCTGATTCAGAGGCGACACTGAGGTTTCCTCGGACTGAGAGAGGATTCCATTTTGTGGCCAGTTTCTCCCTCTATGATTAAAATGTCCGTTATATCCATATTATTTCACTCTTTATGTTTATTCAATGGGTGATGACGCCTAATCTGTTGCACGTATTTAATGTCATGAATTGTTCAGTTTTGATCTGGCCTCTCGTAGTTGATTAAATGTTAAATGACCATCTTCCATCTGGTCATACACAATAAATAGATGATCTCAAACCCTGTGTCCGCGCTCTCCGGGGGAGGCCTGTAATTGGTTGTAATCCTGTCTTGCTAAGCTCCCCTGATGCGAGGAAATGGGAGAGGAGGGTTAGTGTGGATAATGGCTATACTGAGATGTTGTATAAGAGCCTCACCCGTTCTCTCTATCCTACACACACATGCGTACATACGTCCAGACACAAAGTGCACTCTGCCTCTCTGTCCCTGAAGCATGATGGATTATCATGGCAGGTTGTCCATTGTATAACTTCCTGTCTATTCTTTAAAACAACTTGACCACAGATCACACCATCTTATTCATGCTTCAGATCATGCAGGGCTGGTCTGCACTTTTGAACCACCCTCGGGTTCTACTTTTGCTTGCAAGGAAGAGTTCAGGGTAGTCGTTAAAGAACAATATCAGCCTTTGCTTTAAAAACAGTAAGAAATAAAAAAGACAATCTTTTCTCAAACTCATCACACTAATTTTGTATCTTCCAAAATATGTATCTAAAGTCCCCCTCCGCTCAAAAGTGGGTTTTGCTTTATTGCTCTCTTGGATGTTTGAGCTTCACTGCGCAGAATCATTTATGTGCTGAGTTTGACACTAGAGGGCAGTTTTCACATTCATGTGCTGAGAGCCGAGTCTCATTCTGAAGTTGTCAAAACCTGGCACTTGGGCAGTGACTTGCGGCGTCAGAAACCAACAAAAAAATGTGTCCTTTAAAGTCAGCATGATACAGGGCCGGTTGCCGTTATAGTGTAACAGCACTCTGCGGCGTCAGGGGGAAACGCGACGGGACAAGGAGGAAAATTAAAGGGTCAGTGTGTAAAATGGGTTGAAAACAGTGACATCAGTGGTCAAATTCTAGATTGCAGGGCTCACTCGCTCATCTCTCCCGTTGGGTAAATGACGGTGGCCTCGTAGGGACAAAAAGCCTTGCGCAGACAAGAGTTTTTCAGAAGTAGGTCTATCTAGCGACGAGGTAAATATTTATTTAGAAATCTAAACCATGTTACGATATTGTAATGAATCCCTCACGAGCAGGAGACCAGAGTAGAGTTCGGGAAAAAGGCCAGTTTATTTGAGCACTCCAAAAACTCCGGTAACACTCCAGGGAGTAAAAGACTCCGTCCCAAACTCTGACTCTTCTAGTGTAACACACACACTTAATACACACATACTTGTTTGCAATACCTAGCGGGGACCCCCCTCCCCTCTCTGCTCCACCAATCTCCAGCCTGCACACTGACTGACAGCGTAGCCTGTAAAAAGAACTCAGCTGTTTATTTAGCCTAGCAATATCTCCGGACTATAGTAGCTGCAATGGACGACTTTGAACGCGATTTTGAAGAGTTTCTTGTAGCGGACACAGACCCAGAGCCATACCTGTTTGAGCCAGAGCATACAGATGAGGAACTCCATGTGTTGGATACTGAGCGGGCGAGAAGAGAAGAGAAGCTGAATCCTCCGCTCCCATTTTGCTGCACAGAATGGGATTCGGTGCTACCATTGTTGGGGAGATATATCATCAGGAGGAAAAGCGCCGCAGAGAGTGCATCACAAGGAGTGAAGTTGCGTCTTCTTTTCCTCGCAGATGACGGTTCGGGTTCATTCTCTCCTGTTGCGTGGTAAGTGTGGTCCATTCGCAAACTTTATAACTAAAAAAACCTTTCACTACTCTCTATCGACGAACTACTAACACTCTCTGCTGTTTCCTCCTCCTTATTCCTTCCTTCCGCTGTCTTTGTTGGTTTATTTATACACGCGAAACGCGTTCTCTGGCTGGCTGGATTGTCCGCTCGGTCTGCTGTACATACATGGCGGCGCAAGATGGCGACCTCTCTAAAGCAAGGCCCTTGCTATATATATATATATATATATATATATATATATACATATAAGCATAATTGTAAGGCTACGAAAACCAAACAAATTCTATTTTATAGCGATTATACACTTGTATAAACATATTAATGGGTAGAATATTCAGATTCAGATTTGACAATAAACCATGCCAAATATTACACACTGGCCTTTTAAGGCGGCAAAAGTCAGAACGGGGCGGGCGGGACTAGTCCAACAAACACTGACCTTCACCTGAGAGGGGTTGTTCGGTGTAAGAAGCCAAACCCTGTTCTTTTTTCCTAAACCTAACCATGTATTTTTGTTGCCTAAACCTAACCATGTGTGTTTGTTGTTGAAGGGGAAAAAAACGTCATCATAGTGCATTTATTTTGAAAGAGACTGTATGTAAACATTAAATTTCCTGTGAAAACGGAAGTGTATCTTGAAAGAAGAGAACTTTACACGATGTCCCAGAACGTCAACAACCAACGCACCCAGGGTACCTTGCTCGTCGTACATGGACGTGGAAAGTCCATATGTGACGAGGTCAGAGTGAGAATGTGTTGTGTGCTGAAGGAGAAAAGTTTACCTGTGCTCACCTGATGCCTCATTTCCACACAGCTTTGTATCTGTATTTCTGTGCAGTAAACAGAGTACTCCCCCTAGTGTTCGATGCAAGTGT